GCTAGGAATCTTTACACCTAGGTGCATGTAGACACAGCCATAAAGACGCAAATGCATATATTAATTTAGTTCTAAAAACCAATCTTCAGAAGCATTCATGACCCATGACTTCAGCATGGGAGGTTGCTTTTAGGACTAATGTATCCACAGACGTCTTTTTAGATTCATAAGTAGAGAGTGAGCCTGTGAATTCAGGTATTTCATTAAAAGACAAAAATCTTTTTAAACAGTTCGCCATCCTTCACCAATCCCATCCTTTTAATATTTTGGTTTAAATAAATCTTCCTCTCTTTCCTATGATTAATTCTTCTGGTCTTTTTCAAGTGTGAAGTTCCACGGTCACAGCCACATCACTATCTCCCGATCTGCAATGGTTATTGATGACTATCACTGAAACACAGTCCCCGCCCTGGAAAGCCGGAGGTGGCGTGCTAATTGTCTGATAAGACGCCTCCCTCCCCCACACTTGGTCCACTTTTTTCTCTATTTTTCTTCTTCTACCAAAGTGCTCTCTTTGCTTCCACAGAGCTGAATCTATCACTTACCAGCCGTAGCCCTGCATTTGTATTTTGCCAGCAGAGCTGAGAAGGCCGATCTCAGGTGGCAACAAACTAGGACAGCTTCCCTGGTTCATTTGCTTTTTCATCAAGTGTTCAATCTTCCTAAATTCCACTTCAAATGGAATCCCCACCTGAGTTCCTTTTAAACTAAAGATCAGACCCAAGAACATCAAGAACATTCACAGAAATTATATTTGTTTGAACAGCTGTTTGGAGCTGCTCTCTTTGTAGTCAGAATCTTCTTTTATATGCTCTTGGTCAGGGAGCTACTAGTTCAAATTGCTAATATTGAGTTAAGCATAAATGATGCAGTAGGAAGTAGGAGGCATCAATTTTACCATTCCCTGGCCATTTCTAAGTTCTTTCTAGTTTTAGTGCTTTGTGCAGCACAGATATTATATTTGATCTTTCAACCTCTTTTATCTAATCGTTTTGTCTGATTCTTCCATACAGTTTATATTAATTTAAAGAATTGACAGCAGATTTGATCTTCTTACCTTCAAGTTTGGGATGTACTCATCATTATTCTTATTTATATCTCCTTTACAGTGCTAGTGTCCTATTATCAGGCTTCACGTTTATACTTTGAATTATTCATGGAAGATTCATATTGCCTTAATATGGAACTCCATAAGGCTATAGAATAGAGTTGGCATTTATTTGGTATTAGCATTAAATATGTCAAGATGTTTTAAGATTAACAAATCTAATATGTAAACAATTTTAGGTATTAATAGGAGTTACAGTAAAAACAAACTAACCAAAAGAAAACTTGCATATATATTGAATAAAACCTAAGAGAGTTTGGATTATCTATTACAGGAATCCAAGAACTCCTCATGGAATCTGACCCAGGGAGTAAGGGAACAGTCCCACCAGACGGTGCCCAATGACTTTCCATGCTGTAACCTAGGCTAGATGGACAAGGCTGGATTGGAGCCCATTGGACCTCAGGCAGAACACTCTGTCCTGGGGATAGAGGAGGAAAGCAGTGTTGTAAGGAGGTACCATAAGGCAATTTCTCACGTCTTGCTCCACCAACCCCTCCTAAGGCCATAGATGCAGGATTCCTGGTACGTCTGTAAAACTGCTCAGCGTAGTGGAATGTTGGCTTCTCAGTGGAAGAGACATTGTTTGCACTGTCTCACGTATGGCCTCTCTGATTGAGCTGTCCTGTGGGACAGCGGACACCAGGCTGTCTGTGGAAGCAGGAAACTTTCCAAGCGTATTCATGTTCTCATCTCCTTAGCAGTCAAATCTAACAGGCAGAGTAGTGGTAGGAATCCCCTTGTGACTCACCCTGCTACTGTGTACAGGCATTTTACCAGACTGGAAAATTTCGATTTCCTTGAAGTTATGCTATGTTCAGTAAATCAATATTACATAACTGGATTTTACAACAGGTTGCTGACCACTAAAAATTGTCACCATTTGTAGGCACCACGGGATCGGGTCTTCCCTCCTGGCCTTTCCCCACTTAGCGTTTCCTTCCTCAGTGCTGCAATGTAACGTTGTTCTTTGTCTCCAATTTCTTCTTGGCAATATTTTGTGAGGTAATTTTACTTTAATTCATTCTTATTTTATCCCATTGCCAAATTGGGCCGCTGCGATTTTGTTTTAGCCCTGTATTTCTTTAAGCCCCATCTTAAAAGATATTACAGGTCACATAAAGCACATATTGGCCATTCAAATCAGAATTCAGTGAATGAAAATTCCAATCTACCAAGACTCAGTAAATTAAATATACACATTTTAAAATATGTATAGACATATATTAATCTTGTATATAATGTATGTATTGTCAAAAGGCTGTCAAGAGAGAAGTGGTGTCATTTACTGATGACACTCTAAAAACTTTATCATTCTGTAATTCTTTTTTTGCAGTTTTTGGCCAGGGCTGGGCTTGAACCCACCACCTCCAGCATATGAGGCTGGCGCCCCACTCCTTTGAGCCACAGTGCCACCCTCATTCTGTAATTCTTCTGCATAGTGGCTTAAACCTCAAATTAACTATCATAAATATCAGCAAGTAAGAGCCATTTTTGTGTTCAATAGATAAAATTTTTTGTTATTCTTTAAAATATTAACAGACTAAAACATTGATGTACCGCATCTGGTAAAGGTTGTATTTTGGCAAAATTGTACATAGCAAATAAGCCAAAATTTTCTAGTTAGAGCAGTTGAAACATCTTTTGATGTTACAAATAAGCCAAGCAATTCTTTAATGTTTGGCCACAGAAAATGGCAGTGATATACCTCCACGATATCTTTTTTCCAAAGTACATGTTCTGTGGATTATATAAGCACAATTAACATGCAAAACAACAAAACTCATAGGTAGATCAGTAAGAAGATGTATGGGATGATCTTTTTTTATTGCATAGCTTTCATGCTATTAAGGGAGGGAAAGAGAAAAATGACTCCGATTTTCACTATTTCTTTATTCACCTTTATGGGAGGCATTGATCAGTACCATAAACAAGGATATCATCTTTCAACATGCTATCACACACATTAAGAGCAGCACCAAAGCAGACTAAAGACATAGTTGTGTTTCTGAGGTTCCATGCCATTTTACCCCGGTACTCCAGGTTGGTGAACAAAGCGCGGGGAAAGTCATGTTCTCGTTACTTCGGACCAATGATAACTGGGGTGAACTCAGAAATCTACTTCCCTTTCTTTACCATAATAGTCTAGTGGCCCTTCCCTATCAAAACAAAGAACCACATTCCTTAAAAAGTTTTCTCCCAGTAAGTTAATTGAATACACACTATTTTCTTAATTTTGATTCCTACATTGTATCTTATCATGTTACTGCCAATATATATCATGTTCCTGAAATATTTGTGTGTTATACAAATAAAATATTTCAGGAACATGTAGGTCTATGTGCAAATCTTTAGGGGGAGATTTTACCTTTTAGAAGCACTTCAGTCTGTATCACAATCTTATATTGCTACTGGAAGTGTTGGGATCTGGATGGCATGTGTGCTGAGAGAAGCACGCACTGAACTCAGGGTGAGCATGGTCGCTGCGCACATAATTCAACTTGTATTGGTTCTGGCTCTGTTGGTATAGTAAGCCTTAGACCACACATGGTGAGTTTCTATAGGAAGTGTCAGTGCCATGATGAAGAGGGAAAACCAGTCTCTTTGGTAATCAATGGCTTGCTCAGTAGCTCTCTCAGCAGTTGGCTGCAATTTCAGCCTTTTAAAATTATTCCAAGATTATCTGAAAAAATCACATCTTAAGCTGCTGATTGCCATCACACATTAATTCATTCAATGTAGAAATATCCTTTGAGATCATTTGAATCTTTCTATACCTATCATCTTGGCTTGGCATGAGACCTTACAAAGAAATATGTACAACTTTTGGGGGGCTGGCAGATCACAGAAGGCCAAGAATTTTGTCTATGGAAAAGTTTGTTCCTTCTCTTGGGTCTATGGTCAGGGAGGGTCACTTTAGTGTTGTTTAAGACTAAACAAGAATCACATAAAGCTACTTCATAAGTCCAAAGAGAGAGAGTCACAATTGCATTAAATAATTACTACAAAGTTGTACCTCTAAAAATACAGCTCTATGTGTAATATTTCTCTAAGATTCCAAGACAAACTAAATTAGTCAGTTTAGGGATCAACAGAGCTCATTATTTCACAGTATTTTCTTGCTAGTTTAGTTCTATATTTAATGAATATACTGCATTTCTCTCTTTTTGTTATGGAAGCACATATATACCAGTACCATCATTCCTGTCCCCCATCTGCAGATTAATTCTACTCAAACAGGAAGTGTGGGTACATGGAGGAATGATGCTCGCAGCAGCATCAGACTGTCCTTGTTCTTCGTGCCTTCTGGCCACTCCCACAGCCCTGTGTTTGGGGTCAGAAAATGCTGCCAACTCATGCTTTAGAAATGCCAGGAAGTAAAGGAATCTAAATATTGTATGTACCTCAGTGAAACACTGTCTCAAAAAAAAAAGAGAGAAAGAGTTTGAGCTTGCTTTGAGTTATGATGCCTACCCATAGTGACTGAGACTTTGTCTCAAAAAAAATTTTAAAAATAAAAATAATTAGGGTAATTACTAATCTGATAGACTTGTAGCAAGGCTCAAATGAGATAATAAAGTGACAGCATTTACTAAGGTGCTTACAGTATTTAAATTCCTTTACTTCCTGACATTTCTAAAGCACACTTAGAAACATCATTGCTTCTTATCCCATTGTCCCACCAGGCAGGCGAACATCCTTGAGAGACTAGACTAGACAAACTCTGAGGTTATTCTGTTCAGATGAGAAATCATGCGAAGTAGTTTAAATGTGCACAGCTCTTGGATCAGTATCAATCAGATTATCATCACCTGTTCCTGCTCCTCAGGCTCCTGGCCAACACTCCCCTGCCCAGACACCCACATCCCTTGCCATGCATGCCTGTGGTTTTGCTTGCCACATTCTTCCTGAGTGGTGTCTCTTCACCTTAGAAAGTATTTCTAATCTGGTCCCTGATCCACAGTGTGTGGAACGATGTTTCTTTCTTATTAGAATCTCAGTCACTGTCTCCCCTGACTTATTGACATTCACGTCCTGTTTTCCATCCTGCCCTTTGGTTCCTGCTGACTTCCCAGTCTCTGGCTATGTTTCTAAACATTTACTCTGATGTCTGTCAATATTTGTGCCTTTTGGATTCTTGGCTATGTTGAATCGATCATCATCTTTTGACCTATGGTATTTACAGCTCTTTTTTTCACTAGTATTTAGACCTCAGATAACTTGTGACATTCACTGCTTGAGTTCCTGATCGAGTCTGGCCAACTGCCCAGTCCCTGTTCATTCTCTACTCTTCATGTTAGCTTTACCACACTTTCTGATCCTGGCTTCCTGCCTTGTGTCCCCAATCTATAATGTCACATACTCCTTATGTAAACAGTATGCATGCACTTCTTAACATTTTTCACTAATTGAGATACTCTTAATAGAATGTAACATTCTATAAGTAAATAGGTTATTTAAATGTTGTGTTTTTGAGAAAAACAATATGTATTGTAAAAGCTACCGCTACTTTAAAAATTACTGGGGCAGTCCATTATATATCAATGCAATCTCCAGGTTGTAGCATTGCAGAAACTATCTGTGGTAGCAGGTCTTGTCTTAAAGAAAAGTTGAGCAGCTTCTATAGGGATTGTCTTTCAACCCCAAGCCCAGCCCCTGTGTACTAGGCTAATCAGCAGTGTGGCATGCTAGCACCTTTCCCAGAAGGACATTGATTTAAGTCCACTCAAATAAATTAACATTTCATTCTTAACTAACTCACTTGGCAGGAACAATTCATTCACGTGCCAATTTAAAGGGAGACAGGAGGTAGGTCTTGGGCATAAGGGACAATTGGGAGAAACACTTTATATGGTAACAGTCATGAGAGCAAACCACTTAAATTTTAACTTTAAAATCCTTGCAGGAGCCTGATAAAAGACTTGGAAGTCCTATAGATTACAGCAATTTCAAAAGCTGAAAATTTCTAAGAATACACAAAAACTCAGAGAGGGGTGTCAACCCAAGGAAACATGTTGGTTGCTCAGACACATTCTTACAGGCTGGCAGGGCAATCCTTGGTGAATTCCCCATGGTCCAGGGCAAGAATCCACTTCATATTGTCTCTCGCCCATAAACAACCAGATTTTCAGCTGGAAACTTGGGCTGCAAGGGACATGAGTACTGGTTGTATGTTCAAACTCTTCCTTGCCATTATTCTTTACATACTGGGAGCCACAGGGCTCTGTAGCCTGGGGACCTGGTGGGTTTGTATACGAAAAGTAAACTTGTTCCTCGGTGAAGAGCTCAGATTAACCAAATTACCACAGGCTGATGTATAAAGTAAAATAAACACTCTCATGATCACCAGCTAAAAAAACCACACCAAAACCTTTGTAGGTTTATGATGCAAATTACAAGTGCTGAAGGAGACTAATACTCCCATCTTCTGCCTGACTACCACACCCTCTCCAAGTGGTCACTATTTGGGAAGCTAAACAACAATTGGAATTATCTATTAAGTAATTTACAATGAGAAATACAGTTTCCCAGAAACTTGATTGAGGAACAATCCATTTTTTTCCTATCAGCAATTCAATGGAAACTCAAAGTGTCAGTCTGAGAGATTTGGTGATTCCTTCCTGGTGTGGTGGCTTCAGATTTGAATAGTCCGATGATTTATTCTATCTACACAGGAATGGAACTACTACTGGGATAGGAAGTGTACCTTCTTCCTTCCGCAGTACTTAATGGGCCCTACCAGTTTTTTCTTCCATGCCCCTGAGTTTCCTGTTCTTTCATGGCCAGTCAACGACTCCTCCTCACCCCACTCCAATGCTTTGGGAAAAACGTGAGTATCTGAACCAGTTTGAAATCAACATGTGCAGGTGATCTGACTCTTCTTTCTTTCTCATGTTGACTCTTTATGAAGAATTCTTTGTTCTGGACAACTGAATGTTGACATACTAAAATTCTCAGGCAACAACCCCTATTTCCCACAGTTCCATGGACTTGATAATGTCATACTTATTGGCATTAAGAATCGACAGTGATGACTTCTCGGTTACTGGTATTGATAATGCTGCTGGGGGTGATGATATGTAGTAATAGCTGACGTCTATACAGTGATTGCTGTGTGCTGGGCACTGAGCCACTACGGCAAATAGCTATCGATGACATAAGCATTAAGGACATTTCTAATTTATAGATTAGAAATCTGGGCCTTAGAAGAGTAAGGAATTTGTCCAATATTCTTTCCCCAGTCAGTAGCATAGTTTGGCTTCGACTCCAAATTCACATATCCTGACTCCAGAATTCGCATATCATTTTGTTGAGACTGTATTTTATGTCTTATGTGAAATGATCAACCAAGATGCTCACTGAGACTTTCCCTCATTAATTATTAGACTTGGTTTATCATATCAAAGGCAGCTAGTCTGTCATTTTCCTAATTATATGTCTGAGATTATGCAGAAGGCATACAAGTTTTAGAAACTTTAGACGGTTGTCTAGTGCCAGCTCTGCAGAAGGATTCACTCACTTGCAGAACTTTCTGCCTGGGGAGCACGTAAGGACTGGCTCACGGTAGTTCTGACTGCTGCGATCCTTGGGACCCTGAAGGATACTCACTGTCACAGATATGGGCATGGCACATTTGCATCAGGAAAGGCTTGTGGTTAGAAGCTAATGTACATATACCACTCAGCGCACAGATGTAACTCACAGAAAGCAGCAGCAGTGAGCGCAGCACCAGTGAGCACAGCCCATTCACACTATCCCTCAACACCTCAGAGAGTCTCCTTTCCAAATAGGCAGACCTGGATTAACACCTCTGGAGTGAGGGGTCTCCCATCTGTAAGCAGGGCAAATTAGTCTAAACTGAGCAGGTTTTTAGAATTGTGGACAAACTTACCTCCACCTACCAAGAGAACTAAATCTTTTGGCAAACTTGAGGTCAGATAAATTCAGTCCTGTGAATCTCTCAGCTCGGTTATCTTCAGACACTGCCCCAGTTATGACATTGCCTCTCTCCCCACAATAATCTGCTTTGTACTCCCTCTCCATAGCTTGCCTTTCCTCGAGTCAGTACTTTACATCACCCTAGTCCACTATTCCCTTGACATTGTCTTACCTTCCCATCATTGTTTTTGCACTTAAACCATTCCACTTTGCACTGTGTAATCCATGTTTGACTGAATAAAATTCTCTGCACATTCAGAAGTCTTTCCTGAGCATCTATTATTGCTCCTTGACTTGAAAGAACCACAATTATTCTCGAAGAAAGTTGTTTTGTTTTCCTTTCTGCTGAGATTTGAACCCAAACTGTCATATTTCAAATTTCACATGCTTCACCCTTGCTCATCAGCCTGTAATTTCACTGTGGCATTCTCTTATTAACTGTTGGTGTCAACTGGAAGCTCTTCACTTATTGTACCCTCTGGGCTCCATGGTTTGCAGATAGAAGCTTCTCCCTGTCTGCTCAGTTCTGCTTCCAGGCATTCAGCCTGCCAGCTTCCTGTAAAAATAGCTGACGGCTTGATCCTTATGGCATTTTTGTGGCTTTATTTTCTCTTTTCTCCATTAATTGGAGATGGGCACACGGGTCACCGTGGTCCCCCTTCATATATTGCTATCAATTTGAGGGGTTTCAATGTCTAATAGAAACTGACTTACACAATAGTCTCAACTCCCATCTCCATGGTGTCCTTATTTATAATAACATTTACTACTATTTAACTTCAGTGACGCACCTGAAACAGGTAGTAACCTAAAACTCCTTGAAATAATGAATTCAGACACCCTTGTCTATGAACATAACTTTCCAGCCCTTTATTTCTATCTGTGACTCTTTTTTTTTATACGCATGTTCTTCACCTTGTCCTCTCGCCTGAATAAAATTCCAAATTTCAGCCCTTCTACTCAATCTCTAATTAGGAAACCATCACTGACTGAATTCCTTCCTTTCTTTGTCTTACATTCCATAATCCATCTCTTCAACTGTATTCTTTTCTGTATCTTTAGATTCCTCTCCCCAGGTACACCCTTTAAATTCACCTACCAAGAAAACTCAACTTAAATCTTTGATGCAATCAAATAAAAGCATTTGGATATCCACCTTCTCAATAGCCTAACCCAAGATTCTGGGAACTAATAGGAAACCCACCATCAGGGGGGCAATTTGTTGACATTGATACATTCACAGTCACCAACCTGAACATAGTGCTCAGTGATACCTGGGCTCTCTTGGCTTCCTCACTTAGCTCCCTCTCCCACTCTGGACATCAGCAATGCCAAACCTTCTCCAAGGCCCTCAAATCTTCAACTGCCACCACCCAGCCTCCAGTATTTACACCAATTACTGCAGATTTACACATGTGCACACACAATCTGCTCCTGCTTTTGGCACATCTTCCTTCTCCACTACATTTTCCTTCAGTCACAGGGAACTTCTTTGAGTTTCTGAAACATATTACTTTTGGGGACCTCTGAGCATGTTTCTCCCTTTGACTTAAACCACCCTTCTACTCATCATACATGTCTTAATTTACATATTACTCCTCCCAAGGAACCCTAATTTGACACCCTAATTCTGGTTTGGGAATACAACCTATGTGCTTCCAAAGCACCGGCACTCCCTATGGTATTTCCTAGTTAAAAAAGAAAAAGAAAAGAAGAAAGAAAGAAAGAAAAAGAATAAAAAGCCCAGTGTTAACTAGATTTGTGTTAAAAGAATGAGTGGAGGAATGAACAAGTCACTTAGATTGCTTAACCTTGGACTTGTGACAAAATTATTTTAAAGATATCTGATATCTTTCATTCTTAATTATTTCATTTGTAAATAGAAAGATATTATGTCAGTTATGATCCACCAAAAGTTTTTTTCTTGTTATTTAAAATTAGTATGAGGGCACAAATTTTTAGGTTACATAAAGTTCAAGTAGTTGAGCCCTTCACCTAGGGGGTGTGCTGAACAGCCTCACTTTGTGCACATTGGGTGAGATCCCACCAATTGCAAATTTGAAATGCAAATCAAAACCACTCAGATATTACCTAACTCCAGTGAGAATAGCCCACATCACAAAGCCCCAAATCTGCAGATGCTGGTGTGGTTATGGAGAGAAAGGAACACTCTACACTGCTGGTGGGATTGCAAACTAACACCACCAAAATATCTTGATATTTTATCTCTAGAAAGTAAATAAATCCAAAGTCCTATTTAAAAGCAGCAAGTATCTGTCAATTATTTTAAAATACTTACCCAATAGGGTTTTTAATTTCCAGTTCAGAGCTTGGTGGATGAGCCTGCCATGAATGGGAGGATGTATCTATCTGGGATAAACATGAAGACTCTTCTGTCTGAGGCGGTTTGTTTACAACACTGCAATAGCATTGTAAATGTACCCCTGTTTGTCCCTGGGATTAGTTGAGGTGACAATTTTTCAGAAGAAACTCATTTATACCTGGTAAAGTTAAATATTAAGAACCAACCTATAGGAGTTTCAACACATCTACGAGGTACTCAGTACTAGGCCGGGCATAGTAAAGATTCAGGAGACATAAACAAAGATAAGATATGCGACTTTTTAGTAGGGACATAGTAAAGAGCTAAACTTGGAATGTAAAGTAACAAGATAACAACTAAGTTCTAAGCTGCTGCTGTATTTCAACTATATGTATATGCTATGTTAGTTCAGAGAGAAGAGACAGATTAAGGTGGGGGACAAGAAAGAGAGAGAGAGAGATACCATTATTAGCCAGAGTAACTGAATAAGTTTTACCATTATTTAGTCTGTGACTATTTGAATCAATATCCCCATTCATAAATTGCTTATACAAAGAGAAGCAAGATGACATAATGTACGAGAAGCCTGGAATTTGGAGTCAGGGCTATGTTTGATATGTTTCTGAAACTTACTAGCTCTTTGCTGTTGGATACATCATTTAGCCTGAGTCTCAGCTTCCTCATCTTTAACCATGACGATATCTAATGTGTGTAAGAAGCATGTAGCCCAGTGCTGAAGGCAAGTGAAAAATGATGTCACTTGCAAACATGTGGATTTGAATTTATTTAGCATGGTGGAGAAGTGGCCTTTTTTTCCTTTTTCTTTTCCTGCAAAGGAATCTGAAATATGCAGCATGGCTTTTATTCTGTTTAGTGAGGGGAAGAGGAAAAACAGGAATAATGATGATCTGTAACTAGTGTGCTCTGAATGTTGAGAAGGTCACCCAAACATTTCCAGATGTGTAGTCTCAGAACCAGAAGTGATGGTTATTCTTTCTGGAAAGGAGCAGCTGGGTGCCTGGCAGCTCATACTGACCCGAAATCTCCAAGAATACAGTGATATGGGCAGTTCAGACCAGCTCTTCCCTTTAGATAATTAGAACACAGGAGCAGGAAGTTCACGTTACAATCATTATATAAAGTCTGACACTTCAGTTTGTAAACTCATCCCAGAAAAAGTGCTACTGCACACCTCATTGCTGGATATCACTATGGTCACCTTCAAAGTTCTTTCTTTGGGAAGCTATACACCAGCATAAGCACCAGCACCTAGTCCACCCTTCAAAGCAATTTTGCAAGTAGTTTTCTGGAATGGCTATCAGAGTTCTCATTATATTACCTGTCATGTTATAAAAATGTCTTCCTTTCAATTTTTCCTTTATTTTTGGACTAAAGAAATAAGTCATTGGGGGCCAGATAAAGTGAGTAGGAGGGGTGTTCCACTACAATTATTTGTTTACTGGCTAAAAATTCCCTCGTAGATGGTGCCATGTGAGCTGGTGCATTGTTGTGATGTAAGAGCCCTGAGTTGCTGGCCACGATTTTAAGTTAAGGTTTTCCTAACTCTTTATCTATAGATGTTTACTTCATCGGCTATGCTTCACACAGGCAGCCAATCCTAGCCAATGATTATGGTGCAACGTTCCACATATTTTTGCAATGTTTTCATCCATTCTGCTCACTATTGGATGCCCTGACCTCTCTTCATCAGTGACATGTTCCCACCCCTCAGAAAATTGTTTACTCAATTTGTACACTGCCATTTGCTTAATGACATTATCCCCATAAACTTGGACTAACATGCCCCTGATTCCACTTCCCCTTTTGCCAAGTTTAACAGGAAATGTAATGTTTGTTCATTGCTCTAATTCAAGCTGACATTCCTAGGATGGCACACAAAAATACAAAACATCAATGATGAACACCACTCAGCAAGATACCGGTACACCCAAGGTTGAGAAAATGACTGAGTTGTTTATACAGTGCTGCCAATGTAAACACACAGTGCCAAGTCTACAAACTTAATTGTCAGAGCTTATATATCAAGTCCTCCATGAACTTAAGCAGTTTTTATTACTGCCATGAAGCCTTTCCAAGGGCCTCTGGAGAGGACCTGTGGGATCCCTGTGCTCTAGCCCAGCACCACCACCTTTTCAGAACTTAAAGCTCCTTGGTTTTAGAAGCTAGACACAAAATAGCAAGATTATTCTAATTTATATTTCTTGGTGCAATATAGCTTGCTGAATTGTATTTTCCATTTCATAGCTCAGCTCACCTTTTCCTTTGTATAGACCATTCCATTTGACAGTTCATAGGTGGCTATTTGGGCCATGTGTTGCCCTGGTGGGTGTCCAGTCCCTCAGCCTGGCCATTAGATCCAGCTGAGGGAATGAGGTTCTGATGCAGTGGAAGTGCAGAAAAGGACACTCTTTTTAGCAGGGATAGGATAGGGGAAAAGATAGTGGTAGTGGAAAGGGGCCATCAAAAAGACACATAAGACAGAGTTTGACCTGAGAATTAGAAAAATGGAAATAGGGCATGCTGGCATCTTGGATATTTACTAAAGGCAGAGGGAAAGAAAAGTATGATGTGTGTAGAGGCCAGCAGGAATTTTTTGTGTTTGTGGCCATATGAAAGAAAATATTAAGAGTTAGGTTAGAGAGTTGGGCTTAGGACAGGACTGTGGCATGTTTTGTGCTATAAGATAAATCAGGTCCCTCCAAAATTAGTATCTTGAAGTCTTAACTCCCAGAATTTCAGAATGTGACTTTATGGGTAAAGAGATCCTTGCAAATGTAGTTTGGTACAATGAGGCTACAATAAAGTGGGGTGGGCTTCTAATCTAATACAAAGGTGTCTTTACAAAAAGGGAAAAATTGGACAGAGACACACATAGGGAGAAGGTCAGGTAAAGAAAAGCCAGATCAGAGTGATGCTTTTGTAAACCAAATAGTGCCAAAGATTTCCAGCAGACCAGAAGCTAAGGAGAGTTTTTCCCACAGCTCACAGAAGGAACCAACAATGCTAACACCCTGATCTCAGACTTCTAACCTCTGGAAGTGTAAGACAATACATTTTTATTGTTCAAGCCAATTGATTAGTGGTGTTTGTCATGGTAACCTAAGGAAATGAATACATTTTCAATTGGCCTTTATTTTATGGGCAAAGAAAAACACAGAAAAAGTCAGGACAGACATAATCTGACCAGTTTAGTTGCTACATGTTAGATTGACTACATGTGGGGTACAGGGATGAGAGTCTACAGCACAGTTGCAGGTTGCAGCGCCCGGTACCTAGTTGGCAATCATTAGATAAGTCCATATTATGCTTGCTAGGTCATAATATCTGACATGACATGCATCATTTCATTTAATGCTTGCAACTATTCCATGAGGTATTAGTATGTCTCTTTTAAAAATGACCTAACTGATGCTCAGAAAACATAAGAGATAGAGCCTAAAATTCAATCTAGATCTGTCTGTTTCCAGGGACCAAGTTCTTTACTACTACCCTGTCTGGTCTCACAGTAAATATATGTTTGATACCTGAATGAGTGTATGTGTGTGGGTGCTTGGTGGCAAGTACCTGAAGAAAGATGACTGAGAAATAAGGCCAAGAGGGGCAATGGATATGATGTAAATTCAGCCCCTCAGGTTACTGAAGTGAATACTTTACAGGGAAATTAATTAGAAAAACAAATATTGAAGTGTATAAAAATTATAATATTTTACTACTTAGGAATGATATATACAATTTGTTCTGATAAAGCAAAACTAAATTAAGAAGCAGGATGTAGCTATAGGCATAAAGAGATTTGAAGTATGAGAAATGGACCAGTCAAGAAAAATTTAAAAAATTAGCCCATTTACCTTCCACTTTTACTCCTTCTTTTGAAGAGTTTAACTGAGGTATAAAATAGCATTCGACTCTCAGAAGTCTCTACTTCAACACACCTTCATTTGTATTGAAGCACAGTTGAGTTTTGGAAGACTTATTTTTTTATCTCTTTACACGGGTCACTTTTTCTTTCTTACCTGACCCTCTACTGCCATATGTATTGAATAAAATAAAATGATGCCTTCTCTGGGCACAGTGGTTCACGCTGCCAATGCTAGTATTCTGGAAGACTAAAGTGGGTGAATTGCCTGAGCTCAGGAGTTTGAGATCAGACTGAGCAAAAGTGAGACCCCCCATCTCTCCTAAAAATAGAAAAACAATCTGGGCATCGTGGCACATGCTTGTAGTTCCAGCGACTTGGTAGGCGGAGGCAAAAGGATCTCCTGAGCCCAAGAGTTTGAGGTTGCTGTGAGCTATGGCACCGTGGTACTCTACCCAGGACAAGAGAGTGAGACTTTGTTGCATAAAAAATAAAAATCCTTCATTTAGTTATGCCTTTGCTTAATCTACTTATTTATTTATTTGTTTAATTAGTTTATTTCCACTAATAGCAACTTTTTGGGATGTAAATTCAGAGAACAAATAGCACAACAAAAAAAAACATATATATATATATACACACACATATATAGCTATATATATAGCTAATAAAGAAGTCACAAACCATTGCTGAAGATGAAAGAAGAGTAGACTTATGAGCTAAAATGAACATTTTTATAGCCCAGGGACACTTTTCAGGTTTGTCTCTGAGAGCATCTCTGACAGCCACACAAGAACTATAATGTTCTCTTCTATGAAAGATCAGTTCACCACTGAGATCTGACTCAGGTAGACAAATCTCATCCTATGTGAAAATCTCAAGTTGCTTTTTAAATATTACTGCATCAGCTTAGCACACACATACATATATAAAGAGAGACTGTGCTTTAGTTAAAGAAATGTATCAAATTATAATATATGGACTTATATTATCTAGACCAGTGGTTCTCAACCTGTGGGTCGCGACCCCTTTGGGGGTGGAATGACCCTTTCACAGGGGTCGCCTAAATATATCCTGCATATCAGATATTTATAGTACAATTCATAACAGTAGCAAAATTACTGCAACAAAAATAGCAACAAAAATAATTTTATGGTTGGGGTCATCATGACATGAGGAACTGTATTAAAGGGTCACGGCATTAGGAAGGTTGAGAACCACTGATCTAGACTGTAATAATGGCATTGTCCTTGGATTTCTGTATTATGAAATAACACACTGTTTAGTCTTTACAGGAGAAGGTTCAGGAGAAAATGCGCCAGCTGGTGTAATGTAGCATCTCCAAGGTCATGTTCCAATTTCTGTACTCACTAGCAGGTACAGAGTGAGTAGTCAGTCAGCCCTGGCTGATGTATCAACCTTTTCAAAACAAAGGAATTGCTCTCATCATGGAAACTCAAAGCATTATTTTTTCAACTCTATCTTCTAATTGCCCAAATGTCTTCTGAAATCTTGCCCTTGAATACTAAATTTGAGCTGGAATTCTGTGAAATACACAGGTTTACTCTCTCAGCGTCTGTGTGGAAAGGCTGGTACGGCTGTGCCTCCTGGCCTGGGGAATTTCTAAGAGCTGCCCAGGGTGATGCTGCAGCAGAGGGCAGAGTGGCAGCCATCCCCGGGTCACTCAGGCAGCTCCCAACCCACCATCGCAGCACCCCAACTGTGTGGCTGTCTTTATGCTGTATCATTCACACACAGACCTTGCCAAGTCCTTCTTGACTCTTCATAGATTACTTCCCTTCAAAATTCACACAAACTTCCCTTTATCCATGTACAGGAGAGACCCACAGGTAATTGTGATGATGCTGAATCCTTTCATCAGAATATCAGGTGGCCATAACTTTTGTGTAAAGAGTTGCAATTTTTTAAATTGCACATGAACTTCATGGCTACCCCGTATATTGGCCCATGGTTTGATAGTTACAGAAATACATGCGCATCCCGTTCATTCTACTCACAATCAGTTCTATATCCACTGTCTACTGATCTTTACAAAATAGAGCTCAGTGAAACAGCTAACATTTTATCACTTCAACTATAACAATTTTTAAATCATATATTCAGGACCATTTAGAAATATCCAAAGACCATTAAATCACTTAGTTTTAAAACTTTCCTATTCTACTCATACAAACTAAATAAACACATATACAGCATTTTGCTGTAAATGTTTAAAATACTTTAAATTTTCTCTTTGAAAATATTTGGGTGCACACTTCTTGTTTTAATTTCTGGTTGACTGTAATTTTTCAGCAAATGTGCTTATTGTAGGATTTTGGCAAGGGAGGAAATCCAATGTAAATATTGTGCTGATGTAGCTTCTTAAATGAATACAAAATTAAATAATTAATGGAGTTGCTATAATTGCTCATCAAAGATATGAGATATTCATAAAATTAGGTTATACAGGGTTGTTTTAGTAATTTAAAACCAATACTTTTTTACTAATCTTGAATACTATTTTAGGTCTGGAGAAGCCTTTATACCCTAAGCTCTGTGTATGTATTTTCTACCCTTAAAAAAAAAATGGCCATGATGGAGATTTCAAGATGCTCAACCCATATCCGATGGCTTGCCTAGCTAATAGTTACCTTTTCTAACTTACCTTACTACTAGGTATATGCTAGATTATGACTAGGCCAAATCAGACGGTTTGTGAATGAAAAGGAAGTATACAATTTTTGGTTTTGCTTTAAAATAAAGGAAGCTGCGTTCCCTTTCTTCTTCTTGATGGCTAAAAGACAGACACGTCGGGAGAAGACGGAGCAGCCTTCTTAGATCACAAGAGGATCCAGGCATGGAAAAGACAGGTGAGCAACACTGTGAAGGAATCTGGATCTAAAACACAGCCCTGTCACAGAGGGAAGGTGAAGGTGATTTTGCCCTTTGTTATAATAGTTGAACTGGAATCCTAGGTTGTCTGTTTTGCAAGATACAGAGAAGAATTAAACATGGCTCCAACTCCCAATGTGGTTCAGAAGTGGATATATACATATATATACACACACACATGATTCTATACATGAGTTATATGTGATCACATGTATATTATTGTCTATCATCTTAAAATACATATAATTAGCTCAGTGCTGGGAGCTCAAGTTGCTAGGCTGCCAACCATGTACACCAGAGCTGGTGGGTTCAAATCCAGCCTGGACCTGCCAAACAACAATGACAACTATAACCAAAAAATAGCCAGGCATTGTGGTGGGCACCTGTAGTTCCAGCTACTTGGGAGGTTCAGGCAAGAGGATCGCTTAAGGTCAAGAGTTTGAGGTTGCTGTGAACTGTGACACCATGGCACTCTACCCAGGGCAATAGCTTGAGACCATCTTTAAAAAAAAAAAAAAATATATATATATATATTTATGTCACTTTTCTATCAAACAAATCTCAACATTTATGTATAAGACAGTACTAGTGTATATATGAGATAACTGACTATACACTAAGAGCTTTAAAGCCTATGACCATTATAAATTATATGGCCACACAGACTTGAAGTATACATATTAGGAATATTGTTTATTATTGTCTTACATTTAATGTAAGTATGATAAGCTTTCTCACTGATAGAAACTTTTGGCTTCTCCCCTAATCCTTCCTATGTTTGTCTTGTCAACATTCCTGTTTTCGAGGTAGATGCAACATGGACTATCTTATAAGCGGACTTCTTAAGCATAAACGCATTTGCTAATGAGTTCCTGGAACATGCTAATGACATTTTGTTCTGGATCATTTCCAAAATGGTCATGAGCAAACAAGCCCACTTAAGAGGAG